TGCTTTCGCATTGTTCTTTTTCAAAAACACAGATAAACAGGTTCTTTTGCATTTGTTGATGCCAGGCGCCTTTGTTAAGGTTTTAAACTCCCTTATTTCTTGAGAGAAAAGACAACTTTGAAGTTTAAAATATTTTTACTTTACTGGAAGTAATGTTTACTTTAAAAATTTTTTTCAGTTTAGTGATACGGCAACATGTTAATAACTTGGTTTTGGAAGGTTTCCGTATCTGAAAAGCTACACTTCTGCCCCCGCTATTTTTTCCGTATGCTTTCCTCCGGGAGTGAGTGCTCACAAGAGCGTCCAAATACTTATCATTTGGACCACGTTAGAAAGCGGTTGGAATTTACGGTATGTAAATTAGTTTACTGCTTTTTTACTGTTTATTTATACATTTAACGCCCTAACGCCCTCTTACCATGCTTGTTCCTAATGTGGTAGTCAGGCAGCAGTGCATAGAATTTTAAGTATCTTTTTAAGGTGCCATTAATGTTTCGTCAGCGACTGGATTTTACATTCTATGCAAATGATGTTGTCTGTGAGGATCACATCCTGCACGTTCAGCGTGTGTAAGTCTTCTAAGTGCTTAATCTGTCGTTATCTAGACCGCTTATTTTTGTTCTCCCCAAAAGTTAACATTTTGGTGTGATCTTTAGGGGCCTCAACAGTCTCATGAGACATTTAGGCATTTACAGTGTTGTGTGTCAAGCTCTTTTCCCTCATATTGAGATGGAAGTGAGTTATTTTTGGTTATAACAGTAAACTTCGCCGTTGTTTCTTGTTGTCTACAATCAAGTTTCTAGTCGGTAAATCAGTAAATATATCTAACTTTCAAAAGTTCGTTTTTTTAACTGCCTTAGGACTGCAGTAATAAAATTGCAAGAACTGCCTTTATTAATCATTTCATGAAGTCAACCAGCCAAAATGCTTCTAATATTCAAGGCATTAAGTATAATCCCCGTATTGGACGATGGCACGGTACGTTTGCGATGGCGAGTTAAACATGTTTCTTTATGGAGAGCTATTACCAACCCATTTATGTTCAGCTATGATTACCGGATCAAAAGGGTTAATTTTTTAGCTAATGAATAATTGAGTCTTAACATATCTAGAATTGTCCTTTATGTAACTGAAACTTTAAATGCTTTTTTTATTACAAGACTAGTATTACTTTCGGTACTTCTTTGGATTTTTCTTGGACTTCTGGTTTTTTTTTTAACCGCCTGGTTCTTCTTAATTTTTGCAAGAAATTCCAGTGCAAAATTTTTTATCTAAGCTTGATTTTACTGCTTAAAGGAGCCAATCTTTTTTGCCCACATTTTATTGCCAAGGTAGAAAAAGCTCGAAATTATTATTATGATAAAAGGCAGTAAGCCTAAAGGCGGAAACTACTGGAGGTATCTTGTGCGTTGTGTATTTTACAAGTCTTTACTAAAAGGTTTTGGGAACTTGATAATCTGTTATTGACGGGGCAGGAGAGAAAGGTGTAGAAATCAAAGATTTGTTTCCCGCTCTTTTGGATTCTCCACAAAAATTCCTGAAGAACGGTCAGAAAATTGTCGTCAAATAAATTAAAAACGTAGTCGCCGTAAAATGATACAAATTTTCTTTTGCTCACGAGTCCTGTCCACAGTTTTGGGCCTTCGTTCATTCCAGTCGTTTCCACGTGACACCTTGTGAAGTGCCAGTACAAGAAGGTGGAGGTCATGGAGGTTTCCTGAAACCAGTGGAGGGATTGTGGGCAGAAAGAAAATGTTGTCTTTTAGTTACATCAGACCATTTTTAGGGTCACATCTGAGTTCCTTACTCATGGAAGATTTTTAGTCAAAAATTTCCTTCTTTTTTATCGAAAAGACCGAACACCGAAGCAGGTTTGAAAAGAACATACGGGGTATAGTAAAAAAAAGGGGAAAAGCGAAATCGTTTTTGAAAGGTTTATGACTTTCTTTGGTGAAATCAGAGGCTAGCTGATCCTCACATAGCTAAGAAGTAAAGTCACAAAATAGATAACTACTTATTGGCTAACCTAATATCTTAATCTTCACCTTGTGCTGTACAATTCTTTAATAACTATTGTCTCTCACGAGTCCCTCATCTTAACTGCCAGTAACACTGAATGAGGCAAGAAGATGCTTTCTTTTTAATGACTCCGCGTGAACTTCCCGACCTTTAAAGGAATATGATTTAGGTCTCGTTTAAAATCATCTTTTGAGCTATTAAAATATGTTAAATAGAAAATTAATTATTTAATTACAGAAAAAATTGTTTGAAGAGAATAAGTCCTTTCAACTAATATTTGTTTTTGTACAGTAGCTCTCGTTACAGCTGCATTGGTATGACGGGTACTCAATCTTTCACGTGAATGGTAAAGGGTATGTCAGCTTAATGACTATACAAAAAGTGAGTTAACTATTTCCCTTAATTATGGATAGAATATTTAGAATCTCAAAACACCTATTTTTTGTACTTCGCGATTCTTACTCTTTATTATTTACTCGTTACATAAACACCCCTCCCTTTTCAGTCGTATCATGTAATGCAGTCATTATATCAGATACATATCAGATAATCCACGGCTCATCTTTCAGCCTTTTAAGTTAATACTTTTCAAGACATCTTTACCTCTTCAATCCAAAGTTTCTTGTAACCATAACGTATCCGCTGTTAATTAGTAGTGCTTGCACTCTGTCATTCGTACTAATCCTACCAAAAACATTTTGATGATACTACGAAACCAACTGTCTTAGAAAAAAACACTATGCGGATTACGTATACTGAGGAAGTCGAGGTGTGTCTCTCCAAGTTAAGGACCTTGATGCATTGTTCTCCAGAATCTTTTTTTGTAGCCTGGTATGTTTTTTAATTTTTTAGCAATTTCAGACTATCCCTGACGATGAAAGGTTACGAAATCGGAAGACTGCTACGCAAAGGTTGGCTGAGAAAATCGGTGTCTTGCCAAAGGAGACTGCTGCTAGTTTTAGAACAGTTCACGACGAATCAAAAACGACCGACAAAAGTACTAATAAGTGATCTGTTTTTTTAGTTTTCTTTAAGGCCCTTTCAAAGACTTTAGGAGTATTATAGTTTTCAAGCCATAGGTACTGCGCGCAACTGTAAAATAGTATTTGAGAGTGCTGAATCACAAATCTCATTTTGGTTGTATTTATTGTCTGCAGAAGTTCCTCATCTTGTGTAAGTTGAGGAGAGATCCTGAATCATTCTTTCCTTAGTGCATTAATTAGAGTAGTGTATAGGTTCTGCTCCTCTATGTTAATGTGATATTTGTACTAAATCTTGAAAAGTGTTGTCTGATGGCATTTATTGTTTGTTGGGATCAAAGCGAAACGCCGTGAAGTTTTATTTGTTGATCTAGTCAAAAAGAAAAAAATTAATAAATAAATTGAGGCTTTGAAGCCTCCCCTTGTTTAAAAACGTAAATTTTAACAAAATAAAATTTCGCTGTTGACTGGAACAAATTCTAATATTTTATTCTGAGCAAGCTGCAACAAAACGCATGCGGATAAACAGGGCACACAACCTGAAATTAATTATTTTTGCAGCTTGATTGGCCTTACTAAGAACTCCTGAAGTGCAAATATATGACTCGATGCACTTCGCGTAGTCTTTTATAATTTGTCGAAGGTTGGTAACATGCAATAGTTTTCCTCACAAGTAGTCATTCACTGCAAACTACATCTTCGTTCAGATCATTTGTGGGAAGATAACGTTCCAGCAAAATTCTAGCGTAACTCCCAATTGCAACTAGAGCAAAGCATGTTGCAAAGTACATAATTGGAACGCATTTCATTTACCTAATAATTGAGTTCGTTAACAAGTTTGTTGGCTTAGATCACGCAGATCTTCATCCTATCCGACTGCAGTTTTCTCAGTCGCCGCGTTACAGTAACCACCACTAGTAAGTAATAACCAAATTTATAATCTTCCAAACTCTGGACTGCTTTTTGACAGGAGCAGCGAGTAAAGTGACGTTAACCTTAAAATTACCTTTAAGCATAACTAAAACACATCATAAGTGCAAAAAGAAGGAACTGGAGAAGTCTCATTTGCTCATCAGATGTTAAAATAATGTTGCAAAATAATGAGTTCCGTTAAGTCGCAGCGTCGCGTCATTAGATGTGAAAAATATAAATCAAAAAATCATTAGTTCAGCTTCAGTAACGGAACTGTACTGATCTTCTGCACAATAACCCGAAGGTCTAACGCAATAGTTACTGAAAGCAACAGGAAGTGGAGGATTCAAAAAAAGTTCACAGTATTCCTTTATGCTCCGTTGCTCAAAAATCTGTCCTAGATATACTGGCTTCTTCAAATCGTGTTCTCCTCTCCAACCTTAATTTCATTCCCACACCCGCTGAAAGCTATAAAACGGTTTTAGTATACAAGGATAATCATCTACGTTGTCTTGGAGGCATGCAGAATCACATGAGAAATTGGGACGTGAACCTGGTTGGTCGGGAGTGTTGCCGCAAGCAAAGGGTACATTAATAAATGAAGTGATCAATGCAAAGCAAAGTCGCGAGAACGATAAGCGACAGCCGTTGTATAAAGCATCATGGTCCACTAATAGATTGCAAAAGTTGGTTGTATCTGTAATTCAGTTTTGCGTGATTGGTCAACTCGAGCGGATGTAGATGTCAGACTCTACTTTTAATTTTTAAGTTTTGTTTTGGCCGAGGCACCACTCTGAAGTTCCGGCGTAATTGATCGCTATTAAAACACGTCGATACTCTGTTTTAATAAAAGTTTAATGACTGAAGTTGAGGCAACCACTGAACCACCAAAAGGAAGCAAAGCGACAGGGGTTTGAAATCTACAATTTGTTTTTACCCCACCACCCCCCCCTCCCCCACGTCTAATATCCGTTTTCGCAACACGAACGTCAGAAAATAAAAAACATTGCTTTTCACCCGCTGTAAAGGTGCAATACAAAATTGTGGTGGAAATTTAAGCAATAAAGCGTTGAATTTCTAAGGCTAGTGACGAAATAAAATGCAAAGAAACAATGAAAAATTGAAATTTATTTTATAAATAACAGGACTAATGAGATGCAAACTTCACTATATTCGGTTTCTAAAACAAGATCAATAATTCATCAGTTTTATACAATTATTACCTCTTGTTCTAATAAGATCATTGAAAGCGTTTCCAGGTAGCGTGTATAATTAGCCACTAGTGACGGAGCTACGAAAACGAGGCAATGTGAAAAAGAACTTACACGTATAGTATACACACTAGGTTGCTGCAACCGCTTAAACGCGGAAACAGTATAACCTCAAGCAAAAGTAAAGCAAGTAAAACTATGAGGAGAATTTAAAAATGTTGTGGTTGCTACGGAACCATGTGATTCTGTTCAGAAATAAACCTCAGAAAAAA